AAATGTTAATCCGAACTCGGCTTAGAATAGTTTTTCGTTTACAATGATTAATGTTTGCATACTGTGGTGCTACTGTAAACTGAATTGTCGTCCTGTATAGTCTTTTGAATTTCCAATTTCTTACCGTTCAATATTACAGTGGCCATAAAGTTTTTATAGCAGTGCCCGCGACATTTAATTATTATTGAATGTTGATACGGGCCGATTAAACTTTAAAATCGCTCCGTGACCCGGTCTAAAACGAAATTCAAATCCGATTTCAATCAAACTTTGATTACAACATCACTTATGCATTATACGATAGGTATATTTTTATATTTTGTACAATGGGATTAATGTCAACGTCAATTAATGTTGTCAGACTGAAAACCACATCGAACTTTTTGTTTGATGTATGGATTTGATATCAATTGACTCGGTGCGATTATTTATTTCGATACCTACGCAGCTATAGCCATTTAGTTTTATGTCAGTCAGCGTAAATTCCACTTTTGGTCCACTTCGGTCGCTTTAGTGACCGCGTCATTTGTGTTGGATATGTCAATTCTCACTGTGTACCCATTGTTGGGTATTGCAGTAGGTGTTTTTCGTTTACGGTGCTTCGATATTCGTACAAGTATCTTATTTTTTTCAATTAAGTGTTTTTGGCGTCTTGTTATTTCGTGTTACGTCCAGACAGTAGGCTTTATAACGTTCGTGTCCGTATTGGTTTATTATTGACTCGTAATGTATTCCTTTCTTTTAGCATAATCAACTTTACTCGTATATTCTGCGTCTACGTAAGAATATGTCCGTGTACATTAAATATTCACCGAGTCGACTTTTTTTTTTTCTTTTTTTTTTGATGTCCCGTGGGATATGAAAATAAAAAATAAAACAAAATTATATTTTCCACTGAATATTTCTATAGGTATAATATATGTTCTAAAATTAGGTTGGCAAATTCGGTAGATACTAGATAAAGTAGGTATTCGAAGAATTTGCTCGTAATGTTGCTAAAAAAAGAAACGTATATAATTTCATCAACGGAGTGTTTATAATTTGTTTCGTAACATTTTTAAGAGTTTATATTTTATATATAAAAACGGACGACTTTTTAAAAAGAAAGCGTTTAATTTTTTTTTTTCTGCAAAATACGCGTACCCGATGAAGGGATATCAAAGTTATTTCCAACATTTTTTTTTTCTTTTTGTCAAAGTTGAACAATTCTAAAGTAATTTTAAGTTTTTATTTTCCTAAGAAAAGTGTTTACTTGCTTAAGTGTATACGTATATATTTGCGCATTAGATATTATACGATATAATCGGGGTCAATGAATATAAAACAGTCTTATATAGCAGATAATATTTACATATTTATTGTTTTCGAGAGTAAAAAATATCGTCGATTGGTCAAAATGCAAATTAAATTGTGAGAGATTTGTGTTTTCTATTCGTTTTCAATTCGTCAGTAATTGAAAGAAATTGGTTGAAAAAAAAAAATAAACCTCAGTACACACGATAATATTATTGAATTCCTATTATACATTGACATAATACGGAATTTAAAGTTTATGTGGGTAATTTTGAAAGTGCCTATAAACTGTCACGCGAAGTAATATTGGCGGCCAGGGGAGGGAGGGAGGGTAACGAAAAGAAATATATATTAATGAACCGAATTTATTTCTGTCGCCGCCGCCGCCGTCTTGCTTTATACAGTACCTATTTCTTTTTTATAATAATATATTATTTAACATAAATGAAATTTGTCGACGTTAATGTAATTGAATGCGTATAGATATAGTTATAATATAGGTACTTGCATTATACACTTACATTTTAAAATAAATACAAACACCGCTACAATATTACCTATACCAACCCTATGGCGTTTGATTTATTTTATCGATTCGTCATCACGCGACGTGACCCTTTCCGTCATACCGAGGCAATTTTAAATGCATCGCAATTTTCTTCGCACGTAAGTTTAGGGTTACGAGCATAATATATAGAAAAACAAATTTCTCCCCTCCCCCCTCCATCTTCTAAAAATTTGTTTATTTTTGTTTGCTTTTGTATTAAGTATTTTATAAAGTCACAATAATGCTGATTATAATAATATAAATTATAGTACCCATTACACACCAGATTCTAATCGAACTTTAAGCATACTATTCTTAATTCATTTTTAATTTCGTATCGTATCAAACAAATATATATATATATATGCATATGATCAGTAAAATAGATTGGATATTATTTGTGAAAAATTTTGTTAATTTAAATTTTTTTTATTAACAATTTTCAAATAAGACCGTTCTTAGGGATAGATTCTACCCGAAACATTATTTCTCCGATTTTTTTTTTTTTTTGTAATTCTATAGATCCATTTTACTATATTCCAATCACTGATATGTGTAAGAAAACAATTTACATAATGTATTATATTATACTTTAATTGTATTTGTGTTGTGAAAAAATTGTTGCCTCCCAGACTTTTGCTCCATGTCAGACCGTTCCGTGCAGCTTTAAGTAAATATCTACCAAAGGGACGATATTGAGAGTTTTAAATTTAAACGTAATTTTATACGCATTTTTATATTTTACATCAAAACGAAATGTTTCATTAAATGTAAGAGTTTCATGGAATTTTAGAACCCTACACGAATATAACTTAAATATAACCTATATAGGTACGATTGTATACATAAAAAAAAATAAAATACCATTTCATTTAGTTGTCGATTACGGCGGTAGATATTATTAATAAAACACGTATCTCTCCCTCGTATGCTGCTATTGCGGCTTCCACTGCTGCTGCTCGTTGCTGCTCGTCGTTTTCAAATGTGAACTATGCCATAATAATAATAAACGTGTAAAATTCATTTACCTACGGTTCAGCATAATATTTTCACGAACACGTCTTCCGACAACACGAGCAAAAAACCATTCATTTGCTAAAACGCTAAATTAAAATATAATATTTGTAAAGCGAACTTATATTATAACCTACAATAAATGATTCGATTCTAAACGAAAGGAGGATGCAGTGGTTTTACTCTATGATGCGTTTGTTTTTTTTGTTTTTTTATTATCGTGTCTGTAAACAACTTTTTCACCGAAAATCTTCCTAAATTTAAAATTTGTCTGGATAGGAACTTTCTTATAGCAACTTCGATCTTTTTTATTTGTCATGTTTTGATTTTTTATATAGTTTTTTTTAATGAATGAAAAAAAACTAGAACTTGTTTGTGCAGTTTTTGTTAATTTCTGAGTTAAGTTAGCAACAAGGGAAAAATAATACTCTGTTCGGAATCAGTTTTCGTTAATTACGGTTTATCATTGATTACAGATATACGTATAAATTAAACACGTATATATTACCTTCGAGATTCCCTCCTATAGCAGTTGTACACTCATCAGTGTTAATAGCCATTTTTATTTTTTTAATATACTTTAATTTCGCGTGTTTAACGAGAAAAAAGAACGTTTTGTTATGCACATTTTTCATTCACTTTGTTTTATATAGTTCAAAGCGTGCGTAATGAAGAAGGTAGATTCTTGTTTTTTATGAAATATACCTACCTACTATATTATAGTGATGCAAAGGGAAAATAAAAATTCTTGCGTTGAACTTGTAAATTCAATCTCGCGTCGTATATAGTTTGGTGGCATTTTTGCGAGACGATATTCGCATCGCATGTACCTCGCTCTCTCCTGCTTATACGAGCGCAGTACACTGTCAAAATAGTTTTCCCCGAGGAATTCGGTCCCGTTAATTCAAAAGGGACCCGATCATTGAACAGGAAAAAGAACCGAAGACTTGTCAGGATTGTACGACGGGACGGGAATAGGAAAAAAAAGATTCTTCAAAAATACGTCGAACGTTCTGGTATTTTTTTTTTTTTTCATTTCTTGCTTTCAAAAGGTAGTATAGGCGCCTGCCCCGGTTAAGAAAAAGTATTTTGCGACTCATTCATTCAAATCAGTGGACCGTAAACTTATTATTATGTGTCGGATGCTTCCCCCTATATTCTGTGTACTGAATAGATTCAGCAGTTGGCAACACTTTCCTTATAGATAAGGGGTATGTTTATATATTTAGAAAGAGAGAGAGAAAGAGAGAGACAGAGAATTGTAGTGTTTTACATTTACTATTATATATAATAAGTATAGGCGTGAATTAGTTTTGCAGTTGTCTGCAAACACAAAATATTACTAATGTTGTTGTGTATTAATAATTTTAAGTATTTGTGTCGTTTTTATTTTGCAAATTGATCAACGAATATAATTATAAATACCTCGAGACGATTTTTATAATATACAAATATCGTAGATCACGAATATTTAAACTGGTGTTATTGACGGTGGCGCAAAGAATTCGTTCAGAAAAGTATAATATTATATTCGTCTTAAATTGCAGTTGTTAAAAAGGTTTTATACGTAATGCGTAGGCATCTGAAAATAAAAAATATATGATAATAATAAAAAAAAAAAAACCATTTATACTTTGAATAAGTCAAGTTTTTTAAAAATTTAAACGCGCAGAACAAAATAAAACAGATGTGCTGTTCCGTGACTTTCGTATTATATTCCTGCACAGTGCCGCGATGTCAAACCGGATAAAATATTAAATACGTTTTACGACCGTCCGCCTCGACATAATATTTTAAAACCCACCCCAAACACCGTCTTTATAAGATAAATATGAATTATTTGTAGCTCAAATACTACTCGTACATTATTGTTACGGACAATAATATATTTTAATCGTTAGATAAAACGTGCCTATACCATTCGCGTATATCGAAATGGTAAATGGTAAAAATCGGTTTATTAAAATTAAAAATACTATTTGTTCGGTATTTCGAATAACATCAGTATACTTACTATAGAATAGAGTTGAACGGATTTTAGATTTTTTCAAATCAATCAAAGTCACATCAAACGTTCATTTTTTCAAATTTGGTTGATTTCAAAATTCGAGTTTCGAGGTTCTAAAAGAAGTTCTACCAAAGAGTCATGGAGGAGGTAACTAGATATTTGGAGTTAGCCGAAAAAGAAGCGGCACTGACAACAAAAACAAAATGGGAAGTCAAAGAAGGTATAAAGGACTTAAGTAGGAGCTTTTAGGGACCTCCTTAAAGTGGACAAGTTAATCGGTATGGCGCAGTCTCTTGACGTTGTCGAATAAAAGCTGCGAATGGTCCAGCAGCAATAGCATGTACAGTATACAAAAAATATAGAGTGACACCAATAGTAGCTGGAAAATTTGGAGGCAATGGAAGCAATGAAGTAGCATGAAACATGAAGAGCATCAATACCAGATTCAGGAAATACTGGCGGTGCAACAAAATCAGCTTACTCTGCTCAAGCAATCACGTTTCCTACAGCAGAGAAGTCAAGTAGAAACCGGGTAGGTAGATCAAGCGAAGATAAGAAGAACGATAAACAAATACAAGAAGCGTATACATTCGGTAGCGTTGTCGGAACCAAGGATACTAAGTTAACCTTAGAGTGGCAGGTGGTAAAAAGGCGCGAACCAAATGGGGCAGTGACAATAAAGGCCAAAGTTATGGCGAAGAGAGAAAGAAAACGGCCGACAGAAATTATAGTGAAGGTGGGCAACAGCTCATACTCTGATGACCTGCGCAAGGTAAAAACAAAATCAGAAGTGAAATCAGGAGAAGTGAATATCCAGAACATAAGGAAAACCCAAACAGAAGATCTGCTAATTGAAGTTTAACGTGAGTCACAGGACTCAAAATATTTACTAGATACGATATCCAAAGCTATTGAGGATCTAGAAGCAGTAAAAGTTTTGGAACAGATGGAAAAGATCGTCGTTCTCGACATAGACGAGCAGGAAGAAGAATACGAAATCGTGGAAACACTGGACACCTCTTATGGTTTCTCGGTAAATAAAGTCACGGTCAAAAGGTTGCTGTTGGTTTCCAAGGGACAAACAATTGGAATTTTAAAGGTATCCTAAATAAACCTTACTTGAACTTTATTGGACAACCGTTGAAATTTGTTGAATAATTGCAGTCGCTGAAATATTCCTTTTTTAAATTAGAAGTGCAAATGTCCAAAAACATTTTTTATCATTTCATTTGTAAAAAATTCAAAAAATTAATAATTTGAATAAATGTTAAAGTTAACCAATCTGATGAGACGAGATACATATACAGATAAGTACATACTTCATACAACCTGAATCACTATACTTTATGACAAATTAATTCATAATTAAAATTTGAAAAAATGTATTATATGTTTATGTTAGTATTGTTCCATAAATTATAGATCTTCTCGTCTTTTTGGATTTTAAATCCAGCCGGGATGTATAAGTAATCGTACGATCTGTAATAATCAAATTAAATTTATTAGTAAAAATACACTTTGGTCCGGAATCAAATTGGGTATTTTAACTACGTTTGAAATACTGAGTCAACTATTAGTATATACAGGTCGTGGAACAGCATAAATATTATTGTTTGTAATCCGAAACGGAACCACGAAAAAAGTAAGAAAAACGCACGTCTAAACCGATTGATTTATTATAATCATATATATAATAGTAAAACAAAATAGTCGGATTGTTTGAAACAATAGTTTTTTAGTTCAATTGTATTATGTTTTACATTATTCGTTATTATTATTATTATTTTCGGTCCAAACGAGTTTCTCCTAAAAAATATCATACGGTGTTTAACGCTCGAATAAATAACATAATAATACGATAGTTTATGTTGATATCTACTGATTTATTGCTCATGATATTATCTATAAAACGGTTTGAATAATAATTTAAATGTGGATCAAATATTTAAGTATCACATTTTAACGGCGAAACTGGTAAAAATCAAAAAAAAAAAAGGTAAAACATTACGATTTTTTAAATAGTGCTTCGATTTTACGTAATAAAATTAATTCCGTAGATTTGGCTGTATATACATATAAAACCGTGCGCAACGAAGTGAATCGCGAAATCCAGCATTTTTACGATGTGACTTATATGCGAAAAACTTTTTTTTTTCTTTTTTTTATATGATTTAATACAGCGGGTATACGCACGAGGGCACACACACGCTGGCAAAGAAAAAAAAAAAAACCCTGTGATGCATGCAGTAAACAATATATTTCTGTATGAGCGACACACACACATCCGGTCGCTGAATGTCATGTGTAGAAAACGGTAACAGTATAATTGTTAAAAAATGTAGGAAAAAAAAGCTGTTATTCGTGATAACGAATTAAATTAACGAACGAAACACCGAAGGAAACAGTAGCGTCATTACGTATCCCTCCGCCCACCATTGCCTTGTTTTTTTTTAACTGTCAAACATCTTTGTGTACTTATTTTACAATAAATATTATTATTTAACATGTATAGCTACTACAGTATAATTAATAAAACAAAAAAAAAAAATCATCCGAATTCCCATGCCCGGTTTGGAAACGAGGAATTCAAAAACACGTTAATGGCGATAGAGTTCTAAATTCTGAAAATGGTCTGAAAAAGTAGCAAACACCGGACTCGTGGCACAAGGTATTTGTAATTAACTCATCTACTGCAATATTTATTTTCTCCTGATGCACTTTACCAGCGGTAACGTTATTGCCGGGTCGTATATTTTAAACTCTTAAAAGAGTAAACGAATATTTTAAACACATAATGTTTGAGATTCGAACCTTAATTAAAATATATTGAATATTTTTCATTTAACTTTTTGCGGTAGAGATTAAATAAAAAACTATAATTCCTTACTTTATATGCCGCAGAATCGATTTAATGGTCTTGCCAATTTGACTGTTTAGAAAAATGTTAAAATTGACCTTGACGAAGTACTTAATGAATTAGGTTCAAAGCCGCGTGAAGTGGATATTCGATCGTGGTTTATGATGAAACTGTACCTAGGTACCGATAAAGTCAAAGTTTAAATGTAAATATGAATATTTTGAATATTATCATTATCATTATTATTTATTTAAAACAAAATATCACATAATATAGGTATAAGATAATAAAGCGTATAATGAACAAACTCGCGTGGAGGCCCACGAGCCTTAAGCATAGCAAATTTTTACAAGTATCCTTTAAATATATGGTTCTAAGGTCAACAACTTTTTTATAATTAATATTTTTAACACACACAAGTATAATAATGTAATGATAAGGAAAATTAAAATATAAAATGAATAATAAGCAGCTTGTTGTAACAGCCAATTGTTTGAATTTCGTTTGAAGATAACATAATAAAATTGAGCCCTAAATTAATTGTATTTATTTTAATGTACACAGTATATTAACGACAACAGTAGATGTATGTTTATAGTGAAAGGTGCAAAAAATATGTTAAAAACCAATTTTTTTCGGAGGGAGGGGCGGGTTTTCTTTTTTCCGGTAATTTTGTTTATATATTTATTTTTTTTTTTTTACGATTAACTGTGTGTATAATTGCTACGATGCTTGCTCCTATTTTCGTAAACAAAAAAAATCCATCACCACGACTCCCACGCCTTGTCCAGGGGTTTTGAGTCGTATAACAACAAATTTGGTTAACGAAACGTCTGCTAAAATTGTCAGCACTCATAAAAATGCTACATTGCCCATATCGGTCACTTTTCTAAATACCCCAATGCTCTAAGCTCTAAAGCCGTTCAATTTTTAAGAAAAAATATGTTTCTTCAAAAATTGTTGGACCTGGTTGTGTATATTTTCTCCTTTTGTTAGATATTATGACGTGAACCTATTAACATTGTTGCGCCCATAATTTAACGTTCTATTGTTTGATGTTTCCATTTTTATTTTGTTAATGTGATCCACACTTTAACAAAACAATATATTCCATTGTTTTTTTTTCGTATAAAATTAAATTACTTGTGCCGCAGCTTTTGAAAAAAAAAAAACATTTCAACCGTACAATGAATGCTATTGTACAGGCACACTGATAATCGTATTTACTATTAAATCGGTTCGAGTACTTAGGTCCTAAATGAATTACACGTATTCACATCGTAAAATCGTATTGATTTGAATTTTGAATATAAAAATAAACATGTTATGTGAAATATAATATCCGTCGTAATATTCTTCAATATTTCTATTTTTGTGCATTTCGGTTCGTTGGAACGGAAACAGACGATATAGTTTAATAAATGGTTATTTCTCGGATTATTTTTTAATTAAGTAATGCAAATTTGCACATAACTGTACCAATAAATTGGTAAATATTGACGAATTTTAATTATAATTATTATTATTTTTTTTTTTTTTGAGAAAATTAATAAGCTAAAAGGGTATACATGTCTATATTTTATACAGTGCGTCGCCCTATATAATATTATCACAATGAATTATCTGTACGTGATTTATATAAATAGTTACATATAATAAAACATAAAATACTGAAAATATCGTTGCGATTTTCAATCAACAATATGATTTGTATTAATTCGATGCGACGGAGAAATTAATTAAAAAATACAAACAAAATATAAAGCTTTATGTATATTCAAATTAGAAAATGGATATTGAAGTCTTTTAATGTTATGAAATTTATTCACAAACGTTGGGAGTGTTTTTTTTTTTTTTGTTTTTTGTTTTTTTGTGATCGGAAAATTGCAGACGGCTCGAGTATCTGCAGGAATAAATATTCAAACGTCGTTAAGTCCAAACGACATTATATGAGTCACTAAATGCAGAAAGGACGCATAATTAAATTTAAACATTTTCCAAGAAAGACTTTAGTATTTGAAATCTCTGAAAAAAAATTGAAAAACAAATAACATGTTCATAACCAATGATATAGTGTTAGGTATCATATATAATTGTCTACAATAATTTTTTGAATTATTATAAAACTCTAGGTGTTTAAAAGAGTTTTCCTAAGCCCTTTGCAAATACGTACCATACAGGCCTTCCAATCAATAGTGCTCCGTCTTGTAATTTATGCATCCTGTTACGTATATAACAACTCGTTGCATAAGAACTTAGCAGCCGAAAAAGTGTGACAAAAATAGCCACAAAACACAACTATAGCGGGCGACGAGGTTTTTTTTAAAAAAAAATTGTATTATCTGACTATTACCATCATGTTCATTTCAATTCACAAATTTTCATAATCTCAACAGTGACTTATTAGTATACATAAGGTAAAATTTCTGAAATAAAAAAAAAAATGTATTATCCATAAAAAAAAAAAATAATGTATTTCTATCAAAATTGTAAAATCTGAATACGTGTACTTTTTGTGATTAGCGTTACATACTATGTACATTACATTTATTGTTATTATTATTATTACTATATTATTATATTTTCTAATATCGAACTTAATAGCTGACTGCAATATGGCTTCCTTTAATATTATTCGTTCGCAGCGTCAAATTATTTACTATTAGATTAGTAGTTCCCAACAAGTGGTCCGTAGACCCGTTACTGGCGGTCCACGGAGCCATAGATTTATACGCACTTATTTTTTTTTATTCATACATTATAAAACAAAACAAAAAGCTGATAATGAAAACGGGTGAGTCCACTGTTGTAGGCGGGCACTTAGAAATTTTAGGATACGTAAAGTGATTTAATTTATACCTGTAACTAACTATGAATCATTGATTACGAAGAAAAAAAAATTAAAAAAATACACATCATAGTAAAACAAATAGATCCCACGCTACCTGTCAAATCTAATAAACTGTGTATTCGTTTAAACAACAAAACGCCTCCTTAAAAATGTGATTATGGCGCTGATTGTATTTTTCGTGTGTGTGTGTGTGTGTGTGTGTGTGTGTGTGTGTGTGTGTGTTAGTGAATAGATAAAATCGAATAGGTCTTAGATTTATCGCAGGGTGAAATGAAACGAAACAAAAATGCTTTTGGTTTACATGATAACATTATGCTGTTATGATATACATTTTAAAAGCCGCGGGCGACCGTCGAAAACGGAATCCGGGAAACTCGTTTTCATTTAGCGCGGGCAGGTT